TATCTCAAGACAGTGATGGTGGTGATGGGATATCTCAGACAGTGATGGTGGTGGTGATGGGATATCTCAGACAGTGATGGTGGTGGTGGTGATGGGATATCTCAGACAGTGATGGTGGTGGTGGTGATGATGGGATATCTCAGACAGTGATGGTGATGGTGGTGGTGATGGGATATCTCAGACAGTGATGGTGGTGGTGGTGGGATATCTCAGACAGTGATGGTGGTGGGCTATCTCAGCCAGTGATGATGGTGGTGGGATATCTCAGACAGTGATGGTGGTGGTGGGATATCTCATACAGTGATGGTGGTGGGCTATCTCAGACAGTGATGGTGGTGGTGGGATATCTCAGACAGTGATGGTGGTGGTGGTGGTGGGATATCTCAGACAGTGATGGTGGTGGTGGTGAGGGGATATCTCAGACAGTGATGGTGGTGGTGGTGATATCTCAGACAGTGATGGTGGGATATCTCAGACAGTGATGGTGGTGGGATATCTCAGACAGTGATGGTGGTGGTGGTGATGGGATATCTCAGACAGTGGTGGTGGTGGTGGTGGGATATCTCAGACAGTGATGGTGTGATATCTCAGACAGTGGTGGTGGTGGTGGTGGGATATCTCAGACAGTGATGGTGGTGGGATATCTCAGACTGTGGTGGTGGTGGGATATCTCAGTGATGGTGGTGGGATATCTCAGACAGCGGTGGTGGTGGGATATCTGACAGTGGTGGTGGTGGGATATCTCAGACAGTGATGGTGGTGGGATATCTCAGACAGTGGTGGTGGTGGGATATCTCAGACAGTGGTGGTGGTGATGGGATATCTCAGACAGTGATGGTGGTGGTGGTGATGGGATATCTCAGACAGTGATGGTGGTGGTGGTGATGGGATATCTCAGACAGTGATGGTGGTGGTGGGCTATCTCAGACAGTGATGGTGGTGGTGGTATTATCTCAGACAGTGATGGTAGGATATCTCCAGACAGTGATGGTGGTGGTGGTGATGGGATATCTCAGACAGTGGTGGTGGTGGTGGTGGGATATCTCAGACAGTGATGGTGTGATATCTCAGACAGTGGTGGTGGTGGTGGTGGGATATCTCAGACAGTGATGGTGGTGGGATATCTCAGACTGTGGTGGTGGTGGGATATCTCAGTGATGGTGGTGGGACAGTGATGATGATGGGATATCTCAGACAGTGATGGTGGTGGGATATCTCAGACAGTGATGGTGGTGGGATATCTCAGACAGTGGTGGTGGTGGGATATCTCAGACAGTGGTGGTGGTGATGGGATATCTCAGACAGTGATGGTGGTGATGGGATATCTCAGACAGTGATGGTGGTGGTGGTGATGGGATATCTCAGACAGTGATGGTGGTGGTGGTGATGGGATATCTCAGACAGTGATGGTGGTGGTGGTGGGATATCTCAGACAGTGATGGTGGTGGTGGTGGGATATCTCAGACAGTGATGGTGGTGGTGGTGGGATATCTCAGACAGTGATGGTGGTGGTGGGATATCTCAGACAGTGATGGTGGTGGGATATCTCAGACAGTGATGGTGGTGGTGGTGGTGGTGGGATATCTCAGACAGTGATGGTGGTGGTGGTGGGATATCTTAGACAGTGATGGTGGTGATGGGATATCTCAGACAGTGGTGGTGGTGGGATATCTCAGACAGTGATGGTGGTGGTGGTGATGGGATATCTCAGACAGTGATGGTGGTGGTGATGGGATATCTCAGACAGTGATGGTGGTGGTGGTGGTGGGATATCTCAGACAGTGATGGTGGTGGTGGTGGGATATCTCAGACAGTGATGATATTGGTGAAAATTGAGGCTGGTGGTGGTGAGGTGGGATATCTCGAAGACAGTGATGGTGAGGTGGTGGTGGTGGGATATCTCAGACAGTGATGATGGTGGTGGTGGTGGTGGTGGGATATCTCAGACAGTGATGGTGGTGGTGGGATATCTCAGACAGTGATGATGGTGGTGGTGGGATATCTCAGACAGTGATGATGGTGGTGGTGGGATATCTCAGACAGTGATGGTGGTGGTGGTGGGATATCTCAGACAGTGATGATGATGGTGATGGTGGTCGGATATCTCAGACAGTGATGGTGGTGGTGGGATATCTCAGACAGTGGTGGTGGTGGTGGGATATCTCAGACAGTGATGGTGGTGGGATATCTCAGACAGTGATGGTGGTGGGATATCTCAGACAGTGATGGTGATGGTGGTCGGATATCTCAGACAGTTGGGCCAGCAATGTGTGTTTATTGTTCAGGTTTTAATAAAGTTTTACAATACAAGACGCGCCCATGATGCTTTGCGCTCCCCGGACAGTGTGGGCGCCAGGCTGCATGCTCGCTGCACTTCCGCTTCCGGTTTGACGTTGTGTCTCCGTTAGCGCCGGTTCCCGGATGAGGTGGGAGCGGGAGGACAAGCAGAGTCTGCACCGGTGAGTGGGGGCGGGGGCGCAGGGCTCACCGGGTGGGGGGCTCAGCCATCACTCCGGCCGCTAAATCCTCGGGCTGGAGTAAGAGCTGCTGCGGGGAGAGAGGCAGGGATGGCGGGGGGAACCGGGAACATAACACCTCTCCCGGGCCGGGGAGGGCCGGCCTCACCCGGGGGGGGCTGGAGAGAGGCTGCCCGCTGGGCTCCGGGGGGGGAGGGTGGGGGATCCGGAGGGGGTCACAGAAAGTTCTGAAAGTGCAGCTAGTGCCAGGAATGGACGGCTGTTTCCATGGTGATTGCTGGATATTGGGCTCTGGGTCCATGTGTTTACACTGTTATTATTATTATTAAAGCACTGCTCACAGGTCTGTATGTGTCATTGAATGCCTTCAGGGAGAGATTGGGACCTTCAGTGTGGATTCCTAGTAGAGTCAGGGTCACACTGGACTGTAATGGGGCCTTTATAGTGAGGGACCTTGTGTATTAGAGGAGCACACAATACCACAAAGGAATAATAACATGTGGTGGTGGTCACCTTGGTTTGACAGGGCTCCTACTAAAGAGGGTGTTTAACAGGAAGAGTTGGGGGGTTAACGTAGGATGAATGGGTTCCTTAGTACACTGGACTGCAAGGATGCCTATGATTGCAGAGCATACCCTAGGTCAGGGATTGGCAACCTTGGGCACTGCAGATGTTTGGACTACACCTCCCATGATGCTTTGCCAGCATTATGGCTGTAACAGCATTGTGGGAGATGTAGTCAACAGCATCTGGAGTGCCAATGGTTGCCTGCCCTAGGTCCTAATTGGCGATGCAAAGATACCCAGGAAAGCAGAGGGACATTTTACTGCAGGTGGAAGTTGCAAATTAATATTTGCAGGTAAATGATATTCTGCTGCTCCAGCTGTTATTGAGTATGTTTACAGTGGTGATCCTTTAGCTGAGCATATTTGGACTTGCTTTCCATTTCTAGAATGGTTGTATAACACTTGTCTAGACCAGCAAGACTTGTAAATTGTTCTAAAATGGAATATAAACGTAACAAGATACTGATAGATTTACATAGCCTGGTGAACAAAAATGATCACGTTAAAAAAACACTCCAGTCCACCTTTTGTATTCTTTTACTCAGATTATCTCATTTGCACAGTGTTTGTCCTTAATATTTCACTGTGGGAAGTAACTGATACTGTAGGAACCACTCTAAAATACAAGACACTTCATAGGAGTGTTTGGTACTAAAAATGTTAAAATGTTTCTTTTGCTATGTTTTTTTAATTACCCTGAATGTCTTTCTTGACTAAATTAATATCTGACATGTTACATTCAAGTGTCATGTTGTATATCCCGGTATTATGCTGATTAATATACATTTATCTGTTTTTTAGATATTGAAGCCACTGTTTCCCCTTGCAAACATGTCTCACTCCAAACGGGATCTGGAAGATTTGAAATCATGGATAGAGAAATCTATCAAAGGAGTTCTGGGTTTCCATGAGCCTGCTGCCGTTTCTGCTGCTCTAAATTGCATAGGGAAAGGAATGGACAAGAAAAAGGCCTCTGGTGAGTGACATAAAAGGTTATTTTGGAAGTGGATTGTCAGAATATCCGATTAATGATATAAACCTGTAAGATGGGGACATCTTCATATCAAAGAAATCAGCAGTGCCTTTCAGCTGAGCACAACATCTCACAGATTCAATACATAAAAATTAAATCAGAAACTATCCAATGAAATTGCACTCTTTGTATTCTTTTGGTATATAACATTTGGCTTTTATGATAGTCCAAGTTACAATTCATATCACAGTGGTACACTTGGGTTTCGATATGTCAAGAGGCAGTATCCAACTGGGGGGTGCTTATTAAACAAACAATTGATTGCTGATTTATAAATGACACAATGTCCAGTCAGTTTGTGATTGTATTCTTTTGTGTAAAAAAAAAAAAAATATATATATATACATTTTCTTTATCAAGACCATTTGAAGCCGTACCTGGATGATTACACGCCACGGTTTGTTGACAAACTTTATGATGCTGCCAAAGAAAGTCGAAGCTCGAGACATTCACGGTCAGGTAGTGAAAGGAGCAGGAAACGTGAGAGCAAGGTAGAGACTTTGTTTTTTTATTTTCTCTAATTAAAACACTGATAAATTTTCCTACCTCTCCTATAGTATGTCAAAGTGGCTTGTTCTAATAGGAGCCAGATCCATTTCTTGTCCATCTGCATTCAAGGAATGTTTTCAAACAGTTGGCTGCCTATTTACTGAATGCAGAATTCTGAGCTATGCCTGATTTAGTATGAAAACACCATAATTTTGTACTTAAGAAAATAAAATCTTTACAGTCTATAGTGTTAAAGAATGAGGGCTAGTAACAAGATTTTTTTCGTTTGTACAAATGTAGAAAATGTCCCGGCTTTAAAATGTGATTTATAATTTGTAAGGGCTAGATTCTGTTATAAGAGCTAAACCTATCAGTGGTAATTAAAAAGAACCCCTCCTTTTCATTTATAAAGTTTTACTTACAACTATAAGTGATATAATAGACTTTCCTATTTTATATATATATATAATTCACCATATATGTGTCCAAGTGAACTTTTGTTTAAATTGAAGGGGAAAACAAATTAAATTTACAAAAAAAGAGCACTTTTTTGTTGGATGAAACTGAGGTTCAATTTCTACCTTCCACTAGCCATTGACAAGAACAAATACAGCCCTTGCGAGTAGACATTTACTCCTGGCGAGCATGCCATGAACTGTCCAGGCTTGAAGTGGCTACTTACTTTCGGACCTGGCTAGTAGTGTAGAATGTTTTGAGCTTTTTTTTGTAAATTATAGCATTGCTGATAAATTACCAATGTTATTTTTGATCATTGTAATAGAATCCAGCACTATGTGTGCAATCAGATTAGAGGCTATGGTGGGAATCTGTCATTAGAGGTTTGAAAGAGGGATATTGGGATTAAATCCTGCTAAAATAGACCGACAGGCAGTATACAGGCTGTCCATTTTGCAGTTGTCCCTTTATCTGTATGTTTGTTTTTGCCTTGTTAAGGAAGTGTTTGTGGATGATTCAGATCACCCCAAGGAAACATCCAGTATGAAGAAAAAGCGGACTCAGCGCTTTGAGGAGGTGGAGGAAGAGCCTGAAGTGATCCCCGGTCCACCCTCTGAGAGCCCTGGCATGCTCACCAAGATACAGGTAGCCTAGTTTGTACTTTCTAACTATGATTATTGTGGTAGATACGGCATTCTACAACTCTTTCACTGCAAGAGGTATGGACATGCATTGCTATCGGGCACTAAAAGTGTGAAAGACTGTTTTTCAACACATGGTCCTCTTTCCCTTTTGTGATAGTGGTAATATTAGAATATTTGAAAATTAATCCCATCAGAAAGCATCTTTCAAAGACAGGATCATTTTGAGATTACATAAAGCGCCATTCCGGGAAAAGGTTGTAAATCTGATCAGTCCCCATTTAAAACATTGGAATGATCCTGCTGTTTGCAGTCCTTTTAGCACTATGCTCCAGAATTGCTTGTTATGCACCTGCCCCTTGTCTACCTGTCAGTGCAGTGCTTCCATTTTCCAAGTATTTTTACAGTTAGAGCTCTCCTCCAATTATTTGCTATGTTACTAGAGATATCTGTGTGTGGTTTATAAAGCTTGATGGGGTGTTCTCTGTGCACAGGGACTACAAGATACAAGTGTATATATAGGTTTGTTTTCACATAGAATTGGTATAAAACTGTGGGAGGCAAATGAGTAGTTTATAAAAATGATGCAACTTTTTTTTCATTATTTTTTATTTTTTTTGCTTCCATGTGACATTACCAGTTATTGAGGGATTCCAACATATTACAGTTACTTATAGAGTGCTATGTACTTACAGTGCAGCTATCATTCTATCCTCGTTTAAAGAGCTGCCTGGGAGCAGGTCCATCACCTTGTGTTTCTAGATTTAATAATGTCAGTTTCTTTATTTTTACAGATCAAACAAATGATGGAGGCTGCCACAAAGCAGATAGAGGAAAGGAAGAAACAGCTTAGTTTTGTTAGCCCTACCCCAGTGGTATGTACACTGTCCGACCAAACTATATAAACTGTGCACGTTCTATAGTGTTTTACATCACACTAGTGAAATTAGTGGGAATCCTAGTGATGGAAATAGCATTACAATAAGAAACATACAGGATCCACAGCGCTCACTAAACACCAGCTCACAAAATGTGATATTTATTTTAAACACCCAACTTAAGCAAAAATGCTGGGTGGTATGCTGTTTATTCCTCATTCTCGGGTCCTCTACCAGAAGCCTGGGAGTGTGAGTGTTCTGCTCAGTATCTTAGCTGTTCCTATAACTGCTTATTCTGGACAGTGATCTTCAATGTCTCATCCGGAACCCCAACTTGGGGTTCACCACCCCGAGTGCTCATATCACAAGTGGGACTACTACTGCCTTTACTTTCCGCATCCTTTTCCAGCTAACGCTGATATTTGCAGATATACACACACTTTCTGAATATTACTCTGTATATATTCTGTATTGATTGTTCACTGAACTGCATATTGTCAGAAACTGCCACGTTAATTGCACATTTTTTAAATAGGGCAAGCAGCTTTATAAAAGTGGTATTTTATCCAAAATAAGTAATCACTTCGTTATTTCTCCTCCCTTCCCAAAGTTTATTCTAGTGTGTCCTGTAATCTCAACACATCAGGGTTTATTAAAACCTAAACTGTGATCTTAAAACTACTTTTCAAAATTGAGGCCATACAGGAGATCTGGAAACAAGTCTTCATCTTGGCTACAGTATGGCTGTTTTAGCTTGAATTTTACAGTTTACTATTTCACTTTGTAACAGTGGGGTCTCTCCACTCAACTCAGAATAATGGAAGGTTGGCGAGAGATCTGCACATTTTTGGACAAAGCAGCAGAACTTGCTAAAACCTTAGAGAGGCTCTGTCATCAAAAAATGTACTTTATGTAATTTGCTTCTAAATATCTGTGGATGTATCTTTTTTTTTTTTTGTAATGTTTTTCTTTTTCTGAGCACTTGGATTTTCATAAAATACATAGAGAAAAGTTTGACTGTTTTTTTTACATATATAGATACCAGGTTCACAAACCTTAACAAGGGACACGATAGGCACCAAAACAACTTTAGCTTAATGAAGCAGTTTTGGTGTATAGAACATGCCGCTGCAGTGTCACTGCTCTATTCTGCCATTTAGGAGTTAAATCCCTTTGTTTATGAACCCTAGTCACACCTCCCTGCGCGTGACTTGCACAGCCTTCCATAAACATTTCCTGTAAAGGGACCTAGATATTTTAGATTCCTTTATTGCACAGTCTGTTTAATTTGGAATTTATCTCCTGCTCTGTTACTAGCCTTCTAAAGCCTGCGGGAGCCTCCTGTGTGTTTTTACAGTTCAGTTTACAGCGCAAGAGGTATTGAAAGCTGGCATAAGGAAGAAAAGATAAATCTAAATAAAGGCAAATGACAAAGCAGGGGGAGGGAGTATACTTATTAGGATTTAGGGAGCATAAAGAAAGGAAAACCAAAAAAAAAACTAAAATCTTGACAAAGCCACTGTAATAGTTTTCATTACTGCTACTTTGGCTTCAGATATGCTTTTTATGTGCCATTTTTCCAGTTAAGTGATTAAACCACAGTCACTGCTAGCTTTGTCTGTATGATGTCAATTCATGTTGGTTTTTTTTTTTTTTTCTTTGTGTAGACGAAAGTATTGGGGGGGGAGTCAGAACGCCCTGTGATTGGGAACACAATCCAACCTTCCCAAGCCGCAACTTTCATGAACGACGCTATTGAAAAGGCCAGGAAAGCGGCCGAGCTACAGGCTCGCATACAGGCCCAGCTGGCCTTGAAACCCGGACTCATAGGAACCACTAACATGGTTGGACTTGCCAACCTGCATGCCATGGGAATTGCACCACCGTGAGTAGAAAGTTCTAACTATGTAGAGCGAGAGTAATTTGGGAATCTGTTCACTGACTCTGGTTTCAAACACTCAATGCTAATATAGCGAATCAAAATGTTAATATATTCCTATACTTGTGTATAAAGAAAGTATTGAAGACTCATTTGTATAGTTACAATCTGACACTAAACCTGCCTCTACTGTTTGCTTGTTTATTGGATGGTAACAGTATGATGCTGCTTGGCATTGCACATCACTGTTTCTCTCTAAAAGTGACAGAGATTATACAGAGAACTGTAATCCTCTGTTTTCAGTAGGAGTGATTTTTGTAGACTCTAGATCCCTGCTCCACACACACTAATGGGGTTCACATGAATTAGAAGCAAGATTCATTTTTCTTCTATACATTTGACACAATGTTTAGATGGAGTTTCATTCACTCTAATAATTGGAATAGCAGGGGCATGCTAAATCATAACATTGCTGTGATGGAGGTTCGCCCTTGGCATATGTTTTAGGACAGAAGGAATGGTTTGGTGTACTATACAAACATCTGTGAAGATCACCAATTAGATAATGTTAAGACACCCCTGGCACAAAGGAGTGAAATCGCCGTTTAGTTAAGCTTCCCCTTCCTCAGTAATGCAGGCTCAATTCGTGTATACCTCAACCATACGAACTGCAACCAGGGGAATGCGCCAATCTCCCGAACAGGACATACAGGCACAAAATATTCCCACAATGCATCCTGGTTTCCTCCCCTCTGCCCTGGAGATAATTGAGAAGTAGTTCCATTATCTCCCAGGACAGAGGCAAATCGCCATTTTAAATGAAACACAGAAAACACACAAAAATGAATAATTATACAACTACCGAATATATTCCATTCGTATAACGTATACCCAGATAGCCTGGATCTGAGTGCATATTCCTACCGAATAGCGCTCAGATCCCATACGCCATGGAGTCAAAGTCTCTTACAGGTCTTTCGGTATGCGATTGACTCCATGGGCTGGCTATCTGTGTTAAGTTCATTTGTATCCTCGGAATTCCCGAACGGCCAGGTGTTCGCATGCCTCGACGAATAAGAAGGGCAGTCGGTGGATTCTGCGTTTTTTTTTTTTGTTTTTGTTTTTTTGTTTTTTTATATATATATATGAATATTAGATTAATTTAACATATGGATTTGAGACTGTTTTCGTATACAGTCAACAAATATAAAAATTCTTCCCTTTTTCAGAAAAGTGGAGCTGAAAGATCAGACAAAGCCCACCCCCCTAATCTTGGATGACCAGGGCCGCACAGTGGATGCCACGGGGAAGGAGATCGAACTCACCCATCGCATGCCAACCTTAAAAGCCAACATCCGAGCAGTAAAAAGAGAGCAGTTTAAGCAGCAGCTTAAAGAAAAACCGTCTGACGACTTGGAATCCAACACCTTCTTTGACCCCCGTGTCACAGTCGCTCCTGCACAGCGACAAAAACGGAGCTTCAAATTCCATGACAAGGGCAAGTTTGAGAAGATTGCTCAGCGACTGCGGACAAAGGTATTTCTTTTATCAACCCTCAAAATTTCAGATCCTGTTTTACTTGTTATGCCAAAAAATGACTTACTGCTCCAAGCCTGGTGCCCTCCAGTGGTTAATTTCTACTTGCCAGAGCTGAATATTCCCTTTCTATTGGATAGTGGGGAAGTGGAAGAGTTGAGCCCTCATTTACATTACTGACTCCTAGACTGTTAACTGGCAAGTCAATGGTCTGCAGGAGGTGATGATATAAATGCATAGTTTGTGTTTATAAATGACATGTATATCATGATAAAAAAAAAAATTAGAGAGAGCAGCTCACAGTTTTACTTGTTTTTCTTGGGGCTCAATAGACCGTAAATAGACCCAGGTTATAAAGGCTTTGTTCTCGTAAATACTAGAAGCCTAAATGTGTGCTCTTGGCATCAAATTGACTGACTATATATGCAATCAAAATTTTGCTTTGGGAGATAAAGAATGTTATTTTACAAATAATACAATAAAACCATTGAAGTAGAAAAGACCAGGGTGTAAATCTGAGCACATTACAGCAAGATGAGAAAAGGATGCTCCATGGGCATCAGAAAGTATCCTAAATGGAGGGAATTAGAATCCGGACAAGGGGGGGACTTGAAGGGAAAAGGAAAGCTTAGGATTTATAAAATGAGGAAGAGCTGTGTCTGGAGATCTGTGCGCCACTGGAACAGGCAACGTGCCGGAGATCTGTGCGCCACTGGAACAGGCAACGTGCCGGAGATCTGTGCGCCACTGGAACAGGCAACGTGCCGGAGATCTGTGCGCCACTGGAACAGGCAACGTGCCGGAGATCTGTGCGCCACTGGAACAGGCAACGTGCCGGAGATCTGTGCGCCACTGGAACAGGCAACGTGCTGGAGATCTGTGCGCCAATGGAACAGGCAACGTGCCGGAGATCTGTGCGCCACTGGAACAGGCAACGTGCTGGAGATCTGTGGGCCACTGGAACAGGCAACGTGCTGGAGATCTGTGGGCCACTGGAACAGGCAACGTGCTGGAGATCTGTGGGCCACTGGAACAGGCAACGTGCTGGAGATCTGTGGGCCACTGGAACAGGCAGCGTGCCGGAGATCTGTGCGCCACTGGAACAGGCAGCGTGCCGGAGATCTGTGCGCCACTGGAACAGGCAGCGTGCCGGTATATCACGCCACATCCACTGTCTTCCCTCACTGTGAATAATGGGCAATGCCTGGAGTACTGAAGCAAAATACCAAAATCCAGCAATTCTAGACCCAAACTTAGTCAGACTTGTACAACAACATTTACCTGATATTGTTCACACTTTATCTATCCCAATGTATAGGTTTTCAAGTATAAGGATTCCATTGTATAACATAAGTATGCCCACTTCCCTGAGGTTTGGAAAATCTCTCTTGAGACCAAAACATTGCCTGTTTGTAGTATTGCTAATAAAATGGTCTGTAGGTTGCAGACTGTTTAACATGAGTCCCAGTCATGTTGAGTGCCCCTGTTTTATTACTTTTATAATGTGCCAGGCTGTGCAATCTATGCTGAACCAATTTGCCTTTCATTTAATAGACTCAGCTGGAGAAACTCCAGGCCGAAATCTCCCAAGCGGCCAAGAAAACCGGCATCCAGGCTTCAACCAGACTAGCGCTCATCGCTCCCAAAAAGGAGCTAAAGGAGGGCGAGATCCCAGACATTGAGTGGTGGGATTCCTTCATTCTCCCCACCGGCACAGAATTGTGAGTTTTTACCTCTTCTTATAGATTTCTTGCACATATGCTCAATATTTACTTTAAATATTCTCTCATTACCCCTTAAGGACTGAGCCAAATGTACACGTTGTGAACGAAACAAAATGTAAAAATAAGATTTTTTTTTTAGTTCTACATGACATTTTAACGGCCAATGTCATACTGTTTGCTTTTACTGCAATAAAATACACATATTTGTATTCAGCAAAGTCTCATGTGTAAAACAGTACCCCCTATGTACAGGTTTTATGGCGTTTTGGGAAGTTACAGGGTCAAATATAGCACGTTACATTTGAAATTGAAATTTGCCAGATTGGTTACGTTGCCTTTGGGACTTTATAGTAGCCCAGGAATGAAATTTACACCCATAATGGCATACCATTTGCAATAGTAGTAGCCATTTGGTCACAAAGGGGTACTGAGTACTCGGGAGACTTCGCTGAACACAAATATTTGTGTTTCAAAACAGTAAAAAGTATCGCGGCAATAATATCGTCCGTGTAAGTGCTGTTTGTGCGTGAAAAATGCAAAAACTTCACTTTTACTGGCGATATCATTGTTGTAATACATTTTACTGTTTTAAAACACTAATATATGTGTTCAGCGAAGTCTCCCGAGTAGAACAGTACCCCCCATGTACAGGTTTTATGGTGTCTTGGAAAGTTTTAGGGTTAAATATAGTGCTAGCAAATTAAATTCCCTTTACTTTCGGCATGGGTTGTCAGGTCCCGCTAATTGTAATTAATTAAGATACCTAATTATGTAAAAATATTACATAAATATATATGTAGAATTAATATATATATATATGTGTGTGTGTATGTATGTGTGTGTGTGTGTGTGTGTGTGTGTATATATATATATATATATATATATATATATATATATATATATATATATATATATATATACACACACATATGTGAATCTATATGTGTATATATAATTTTTTTTATATATAGGTATATATATATAGTGATATATACGTATATATTTACATATTTAATTTTTTTATATTATATATAACAATTATATATATTTAATCAGTATCAGTCTACGTGTAATTTGATATTAATATATATAGTAAAATACACCTAGACCGTATATATATATGTGTGTGTGTGTGTGTGTGTGTGTATATATATGTGTATGTGTGTATATATATATAAAATATACTTAGATCATATATATTTTATTTTTTTTTACACTTAAACTTTTATTAATTTTATTTTCAGCTAGCAGGGGGACCACCTGTCATTCCTGCTGGCAATGCAGGAGGCAGCTACCCCCGGCCATGTGATTGTGGGGTCCTCGCATGGCATGCTTTAATGGCATGCTGTGGTTCCATTAAAGTGCCTTTTTTTTTTTTTTTTTTTTTTTTGAACCAAGGAGTGCCTGGACCAATATTTTGGAATTTGGTGTTTGGTTCCTGGTACAGACTCAGACTGATGGGAGTGAGTGCAGTTCCCTACATATCCTTTTGATTGTTTTGGATCTCAAACTTGCCCCTTCGGTGGTTGGATTACCATTTATCTTTTATGTGCACTTCATGTAGATTTTTCTTGTTTGTTTATGTAATTAATGGTTCACCTTTACTAAACCGCTATTTATATCTTTACTTTTTTCTTTACTTTTTTAGAACAGAAGAAAGTTTATCCAAACGAGAGGAATTCTATGGTATAACAAACCTCGTAGAGCACCCGGCACAGCTCAGTCCCCCAGGTAAAATAATCAATCTGCAAATATTAGTTAACCCTATGGTCTATAATTATGCACCATGCATACAATTAGAGGCACTACTGAGCCTGTACATCCGTTTCATTATTTTTTATTGAAGTAGAAATCAATTCATGTGGCTTGTGAATAAGCGGCACGCCACTGCCCAAATACAAAATAAATACAAATCAGTGTTAGGTAGATATACCCCAAATGAAATGTTGCATTTATTCATTGGAGTTATATCTAAAAATGAATTTAAAAAAGAAAACATAGATCTCTTGTCTGCAGCCTTTGCTAGCCCTCCCCTTCGAACTCTGCCTAGACTTTCTGTGGCTGTCCAATCACGGACTTTTCAATGCAGTTCTATGAGAAGTATTTGCAAAGCAGGTGCTCTGGGCAATTGCTGCCTCTCGAGTTCAGTGCAAAGAAGCTAACCAAACCAGGAAGTAACAGGACCAGTCTGCTTGGAAAAGCTGGGTGGGTGTAACCAGCATCATTTAGAAAAGTGTACATTTCTGTTGAAATTGCACTTTTTGTAAATGAGGAAGTGTTACTAGGTATAAAAGCGCCAAGTCCTGTCCTATGTCCATTGATTTTAAGGCACGGCAGTGTTAAATTGGCTAAACCTAGCCCTGATATTGCTGCTGAAATAAAATGACCAGATAGGCTGGCAATTTCAAGGCCAGGTTTAGCCAATTTAATACAGCTGTGCCTTAAAATCAATAGACATAGGACATGAGTTGGTGCTTTTTAAATAGTAACTACGTATTCGCCACCTTTTTTTTGTATGTAGGGGGTGGGTTTATCCTAGACTATTTCTTACCAGATGTTTTATCAGACGCCCAGTGTTTGGACTGATGAGCACTCTGTGTTTGCAGTCTGTCTCAAACTAAGCCGGTATTAAATGTACTAAGGTTTAGAAGCTTGATTTACGCAAGTGTCTGTTTACTGTTAATTGTAACAAGCCTACATACTAATCCTGTTGTTAAGTCTCTTGGTATGGTATTGTAGTACGTACAGAACATGCATGCCAGGTTAGGATTAAGGAAATGCACACAGTGACGTTTCCCAACTCTTAACTAGTGGGGTGAAACGTGGCGGTGTTTGTGTTTTGGATAATGAGCTTTTTTGTTTGTTTTTTGTTTGTTTCACCTTCTGTATTTTGTTCTGCAGTTGACAAAGATGCTCCAGTAACACTAGGAATTTACCTTACACAAAAAGAACAGAAAAAGCTGCGCCGTCAGACAAGGCGAGAGGCACAGAAAGAGCTGCAGGAGAAAGTACGTCTAGGGCTGATGCCACCACCAGAACCCAAAGGTAAGATCGTCACACAGCTTTATTGCTCTAATACAGGTGCGCTCAAAAGTAGGTCACCAGATGTTTTAAAACTACAGCTTCCATGATGCTTTGTCATTCTAAAGGCATACAGAGCATCCTGGGGGTTGTAGTAATACACCACCTGTGATCTACCTTTTGAGCACTTATGCGCTAATATAGCTAGCTGCATTACGGTGTTGTTTTCTGCTGCACATGTTGTTCCATAGTTGTATGTAAATGGTTACTCTAATCTTAATGACCCATTCAGTGATTTGAAGTGGTTATGGCGCCTGCAGTCTGTATGTGCAGCATATTTAAACTCAGCACATACTAAGTTTAACACCTCTGCTGCTAGAGCTGTAATTCCATTTATGGCAGCGTCATCACAGTATCATGAACCAGCACAAAACCGTGAAATTAATTGGTTGAGAGTGGTCAGCTGATTCTTGGCCAATGAATGAGCAGCAGGATTGGCATCTGGCGTTTGCAGCCAGATGTCGCAAACCTGCATCAAAGTAGACCAGTTGCCCCAGCGGGACCCAGGTGAGAGGACACACTGTTGCATAACAATTTGCTCCAATACCAGGAAACGGCGGTAGAGCACTCCTCACAGCATAACCGCTATAGTGCACATGATGATTGAAGTTACTCCCTTAATATTGATTAATGCACAAGAATCAGGAATATAGGAACTGGTGACAAAGCGAGAGTGGTTAGGCTGCTTCCCAGACGTAGCTTATAATAAAGTATTCTGAGTACTTGCTCTTGTATAGAATAAAAGATGTCAATACAATATCTTTTGTTTACTGAAGCAGAGTGATCTACCATATAAATGGTCCAGGAAGAAAGACTCCTTAAAGAATTTGTAGTCCCAGATAACATAAGATCCACAGGGAGAGATTCCTTCCACCAAAACAATGCTATGGGGCTGACGGTGCATTATATAAATCTGGTCACCCCAATGCATTATGGCAGTTTTGCATTAAGGGAGGCATTATCTACGCGTATATCCAGTACTCTCACTCTTATATGCAACCAATTGTAATATCTTATGATTCAGCTAATTTTTTTTTACCAGGTTAGGCATGTAAGAAGGTTGTGATCTGCATTTTAAAGTTCACAAAGGTACCTGATATGCCAGTTAAAGCACCCACATGGTGCCCTCAATCCTAGAACACACAGTGCTCTTCTGTGAAGTCTCCATAGATTAGGTAGTTTATATGTGTATACAGGTGCCTAGCTGGTTTGTCTAGTTGACTACCTGGAGTTCATCTACCTGTTCTATATGTGTATATTGCTCCATGACTTGATGTCTCTTCTATTCTTTGTTTCTAAAGCATGTATAATGGTATACAGAGCCTGTACTAAAGAAATATATTTTTGTTCCAGTGCGAATATCAAATTTAATGAGAGTATTGGGGACAGAAGCTATTCAGGACCCAACAAGGGTGGAAGCCCATGTCAGAGCTCAGATGGCAAAGAGACAGAAGTAAGTTATCTCATATATGCAGTACAGATCAGGTCTGCTCCTGGAAACTGAATATGTAGTTGGAGAGGGGGAAAAAGTACTTGGGGAAACTGCCAACATAATTTTTTTTTGTTATTAACATTTGTTCTATTCTTATCACTCTAAACCACTTATTGGCTGGATGGATTAGGCCAGTTGGAGTTGTATTGCATTGTATACTTTGTTTTCATGTTATAAAGACTGTCTGTTGTTTTGTTCTTCCCAGAGCTCACGAAGAAGCAAATGCAGCCAGAAAATTAACAGCGGAACAGAGAAAAGAGAAAAAAGTAAAAAAGCTAAAAGAAGATATTTCTCAAGGTGTCCACGTAACTGTATATAGGTGTGTATCAAGCCACTAGTGAGATCAGGCCCCAGCAGTCATTAAACAAAACTGTCCACTTAACTGTATATAGGTGTGTATCAAACCACTAGTGATATCAGGCCACAGCAGTCATTAAACAAAACTGTCCACACACCTCTCCGTTTCATTGTCCTCTCCTCTGTTATTTTAATGTAGAGTGTCTGCATTTTTGTTTTTCTGCAGGAACAAATAATTGCACAAGCAATGATTTCAGTGTCAGTAAAACTGGATTTTCTTAGTCTAAAAACTAAATTTCGTTTTGTGCATAGGCACTTGTTTCAAGAAGATACACGTTTGTCATTTAGGATATGACTATTTTGATACTCTGATTGTCCAGAACATTAAGATCCCAGAGTATGCAAACAATGTATTCCTTTTTTTACTGGTTTACAAATAGCAAAAAAAAACTTAGTACAACAATGCATTCCTCTTGAAAGTGCATTTTTTATGGTACCATTCCAGATAGACGGGCACTGTTTCAGTTACACTTGCTGTCTGTTTGATATAAGTTCTCAAATCCTCAGAAGTGTCAGTAAGTGAAATGCAGTATGAGCACAGTTAGTGTGGCTGAGAGACTTGTTTGGAAATGTGTGTGGGAAGACACAAAGAGTGGACAGGTTAAACCAGGTCAAACAAGTGGAGAAATAGACGATGAGCGGTATAAGAGAGTCCATTTTTGTGCTTTTGGAGGAATAGAATACTCAATTATTCAGTAACAGCAAAGCCAGTATGTAGATCTCAATCTGCCATTGAACTCCAGGCCCCATAATGCTCACCCAGGCACACACATCTTTGGCCTGGTAGCATCAATGTTTGGAGAGAAGTTAACTGATGATTACCCAAGAAATGTTTGGGTATTAGGTGGAAGGACTTTGTATTTTGCTGTGTTTATTCCTGTAGGTCAATGATTAGCTGTACATTTATAAGTGAAATAATGAATTTCCTGTCTTTTCGATTCATGCAACGCTTTGCTTATCTGCAATGGGTTTACTGTTTACTTTTTTTTTTTTCTTAGTATAAGGAATTTAAGCAACCCATCCAAAAAGTTCAAGATTGAAGCCAACGCAGGCCAGTTATACCTAACGGGAGTCGTAGTTCTACATAAAGATGTCAATGTGGTAGTGGTAGAAGGAGGTAAGTACAATCCCTATATCTGGAGCATTTATAAAGGAATCTAGGTGCCAATAAAGTAACTTCTTATACTTTATAAAGCACCTCCACATTCTGCAAGGCTGCCCATGAATACAAATTGGTACATGTAAAAAGACTAAGGTACCGTACATCGACGACAATACACAAATTGACAAACAAATGCAGAAGGAGTTGAATGTCATATTTCTGTGGGCGCTTACTGGGATAGGAGGGGTGAGAAACAGGCCATGAGGATTGCATATAATATCGCAAACTGTAAATTAGTAGCACAAATGCACCCTTCCATTTGAAAAATGTTGTAACTTTATTTGAAAGTTTTTAGTAAGTTATAATAACAGTACAGTCGCTCCTGCATTTAATCAGTGTTATTTTTTTCTGTGTAGTGCGCATGGTTGGTTGCATTACTTTTAATCATCATGGACAGCTCTGAAAATGTACAATTCACACGCACCGTCAAAATATTTGTTCCTATTCAGGTTGATTTTCTGCAGACCGGCTGGCTGACCAGAGTTATATACTAAAACCATAGCTGATTTACACAATGTTTCCAGTTCGGCTATTTTTGCCTTAAATTTGAAATTCTCTTTGAATTCTGTCTTTAGTGAATAACCCTGATGGTTTACATTAGTTCAGTGAGCTTGTTTACAACGCTGTTTTCGAGATACACTTTCCATCAAGTGCTGGGATCTGCCTGAAAGGCTTTTCTTCATAGACCTTGAAAGTTCACCACGACAAAGCAGACTCGCTGATTAGTGTTTGCTGTTAAAGACTTGTTTCCACTCCGTACACCGCCCCAGTAATTGCTGGAGGAAATAAAGGGGAACTTTTAAAAAAAAAAAAAGCATGACTTTTTATGACTCCTACGGTGATCAAATACTTCTACTGTCATTATTACCTAAAATGTTTGTTTCCAGTGTAATGTCTGCTCACCTTGAAATCCGTATCAGTGATTTATCTGATTGTTTGTTGTATTTGATATCTTTAGGGCCTAAATCACAGAAGAAGTTTAAAAGGTTGATGCTCAGTCGAATAAAGTGGGATGAACAGACAACGAACACAAAGGGAAACGGTGAGGACTGTCTTAGTTACATAGCTGAAAGTACACGTGTCCATCAAGTTCAGCCTTTCTCACATCTTTTCTGCGTTTACAGAGCATTAAGAAAATTGCAGGTTTAGGAGGAAATTGAAGCACAGCTCGTTGTGGTTAGGTTCTCTTAGAGTTACCCGTTATAAAGATGGCTTTTTGAATTCCTTCACTAGAAATCTAGAGAATTCATGCCATATGAATGGGATAATGTGTTTGATGTTTACTCTTATTTATATTGTGACTCTTAAATTATACATTAAATCATTTAGGACAGACTTTTGACAAATTTTCCCAGGAAAAAAAAAAAGAGCCAACCAAAATGTAAATTTTTTTTGAGAGCTCTGGGTGGTTAGTTTTACTTTGTTTAAATTTCACTCAAATAAAAACTTTTCTAATGACATAAAACATGCTATGTTTAACCATTTGTGACTGTAGTTGGACCAGATTATTTTTCTCATGAAGCTTATCCAGTCTGACGGCTGAGCCCCAAGGAAAATAGACGGCAGCAGATTGGATACAAATTGTAGATTTATTTGATGGTAAACCTGCGGCAGACAAGCTGCTATAAACTGTTTTTCCCATAATTCCAATGAGTGACCCAGAGTCATTGGAAATTAAATCCTTAATAGATTATCATGTGTTACTAACCACGAATGCCGTAACCGTTGTGGTCTCATTTCCCTAATGCTCACCCAGCCTAAAGATTGCACATTGGCAGTAAAAGACCTCATTTAATGTACTGTTTAGTTGGCTTGATGCTGCTGAAGCATCATTGGAAATGAAGTACATTAACAGCTACAGTGTGATATGATATCAGAGAAATTGCTTTCCCACCTGGCATTCTGAGTCCGTACCAGGAGAATGTGATGTTATATTACTTCTTACTGAGTGACTTCGGAGTGTTTTACAGGAGGATAGGTGGAGCCCTGAAGCTATCTCTGCATGCCACTTTATAGACCTGGTTCTTGGCCCCTGATGGACAGAGAGCCGTTCTCAGCCCGGGTCCCATTTCTGTGGCATACTGGAACCCTGGCTTTATTGAACCCAAATTTAGATTAGATTTAGAAGCCAAGGTGGTTTGCGTGCTATCCTACCTGCAGGTTGTAATAACAAGAAAGTCTTGATTGTTTAGAAACTCGTCTTCTTTTAATTTGTTGCAGATGATGATGAATCAGATGAGGAGTTGGTTAAAAAGTCCAATAAGTGCTCATTAGTTTGGGAGGTGAGTAACCTTGTCCAAAGGAATACCTAAGATGCAGTCCATACTTTGTTTTGTATATCTTTTTATCTTTTGTATATGATGTGGGTTGTTTTTTTTCTTCCAATTCTTTATTTTTGTTGTGCATAGAGTAACAAAACAAACTCGCATAGTCACAACTATTGCAGGCAAATTAAAATGATTCAGATCATCAGAATGGGAGGGCAAAAGGTGGCTCAAAAATACTAAGTGATGTAGGTAGATTTGTAAAGAACTCCCACACAGAGCTGGCCGTGTGCCTCAGGTAGGCCCTGTGTCAGCCTGTCCCCCTACTCAGGAGTGTTTTATCGCTAGGGAATGTGGCAAGGTAGGAGCAGGGTCGGGTATCCCTCAAGCCTGGAACAAAGATCCGCATTAGGTAACCACAGACTGTCAAAGTCCCTCCCTATTGAGAGATTGCAGATGCTTTTGGTGGTGTGTCGCCCTGGATAGCATCTCCCACATAAGTGGGAGATGTGACTGGGTATTACCCCTAATGGTTTTCAGCCCAGATAGGCCGGGGTTGAGTGGCATTGGTGCTTGTGTGGTTGCATCGCACGGAGCAGGCTCCCGCCCCCCACCTTTGTCACCCCGCTCACCCTCCTGGGGTCGAATCGTCGGTACTTCCATGCGAACTTCTAGTTTTTCCCAGAAGATGGCAAAAATATCTTCCAGTCATTGTAGCATGTGGTCTGACTTTCTGTGTTGTCTTGGGTCGTAGCGGCTCAGGAGCATGTGGTGAGACCGCAGACATCATGTTGAAGGACCCAGCAGCAGTCATAATCTGTGCAGTGGCAGTATTCTATACGCAGCCTAAGCTTGAGAATCATGTCAGTGGGGACCGGGATAACCCCTACCAGTCCAAAGGGGTGGGGGTGAGCGGAGCTAGGAACAGGTTCTACACATTCGGCCAAAGAACTAGGAGAGCGGCTGTGTAGGCTTCAAAGCTTTGATTCAGGCACTCCAGTGGTGAGGGGATGGCTTAAGCTGTGCTTTGCGATGCGTTTGGGCGGCGGGAGAGTGGCCATCTCTCCCTTATCCACCTCGTGTGTAGGCCTCAATGGCTGGATGATTGGGACCAGAGCGTAGAACCTCGAGACCTACTGGATGACACCTCTCCCGGTGTCCCGAATCACTTAAGAGCCAAAAGAAGTTGGGTTACATGTTCTGTTCAGCAGGATTTGATTCTTTTTGCGTGAGATTACAGGACCAGCAGCACTATGCGTCTGCTCTGCAGTCAGGCCCCGCTCCCCCCCAGTTGTTTTAATTTTATTTTTTTCTTATTTTGAAATTAAAAGTGACAGGTCAGCTTTCAAGAAGCAATATCCTGTAATATTAACTGGAATAAATGCATTAAAAACAATCACTACTAGCAATATGTTTCTCTTTCTGTCCTACATGGCAATTCGCCCATAGCTGCTCCTCTCGCTATAGCTGTAGAAGGTGCTATGTAACTTTTGTGATGGAGATTGGATGTTTGTTACTCTCCTGTTTGTGTCACTGTTAACACGTTTTACTTTTCTGGCTTTTAGGGTACAGTTAAGGAACGCAGCTTTGGCGATATGAAATTTAAACAGTGCCCAACGGAAAACATGGCACGAGAGCACTTTAAAAAGCACGGGGCAGAACATTATTGGGACCTGGCACTGAGCCAGTCTGTGCTGGAAACTGCAGACTAAGACCTCTTCTATCTTTATAGCAAGGATAGATTACCCATGCTGCACCACTCAAACCGAGGAACGAACTCCAGACAGACCTCTTTAAATCACAGTGTTCAAAGCTGTGTTCAGCCTAAAATGCATCAGTGGTTTATTTATGAGCAAACTCCCATTCTCTTCCGGTTACGGCAAAGCTCTTCCTTTAAATAGCACTGCATTGTGGGTATTAACCTGTCTGTGGCATGAAGTGTCACGCCATTGTGAAAACAAACTCAGTTTGATGCAGTTTTTGCCGCTCCAAATATCTGGTCATACATATATAAATAGTCTTTGGGTTTTTTTTGTTTGTTTGTTTTTTGTTTTTTAATATTTCCCACTTTTTTTTTTTTCTAGGCCATACAAAAAAGAGGCTTTCTTTTTAATATCGTTTATTATTAAAACGATTTATTTTGAATAAAAGTAGGCCTTGTTTTGTATTAAGCCAGGGATTCCCTTGGTTTTTCATGCAAATAAAAACAGAAAAATTAACTTGAGTGGGTGATGTTCTTACTACAGATTCACATCTACGCAGAAGTTGTTTTTAATATGCCACAATCATAATGCCTTTCTATACAATACATCTGGGGAAAAGATGAACTACTACACAATATTCTCTTTTCTAATTTATCAGATTGTTTTTTTTTTTTTATGGCTATAATTGTAAATGGGTTTTATGCAGTTAACCTATTAGCAATAGCAGAACCAGAATTCTAGTCTTCAAATAGCAAAACTTTGTTGGAAAGAGTTTGATAACTTTGAATTCCCGGACATAATAAAGATTTTGTTCATTTCTACATTACCAATGTTAATGTCCAAATTTTAAAGCCACTGAGCATGACAGGTGAAGCTCTCAGCCAATCAGTGATGTCCAAATATGTCCCACTTAGCTGTATGCTTTACGTTGGGTTCCTGTAATGGTTAAGGAAAAAAGCAATGTTTGGGTCTCCATGATACATTTTTTCTACTCTGACTTTATTTCACCATTATGTAACACTATTGGGAGTTTTTGCCTGTTTTCATACATGTGCCTAAGGTTTACCAAAGTTGTTGAATTTGGCTCATTATACTTCTGAGGAACTTTTTCTTAAAGGGACACTACGTGCACCATAACCGCTTTAGCTCAATGAGGCATTTTGAGTGTATGTGTGATTAAATTCAATTCACAGAACAGGAAATCAAAACTTCTGTTAAGAAGGGGGTGCTAATATTCACTTCATTAGGAATTCCCTGGCCCGAGGTGGAGCTATGACCCATTAGTGACACAGTCAGTAGAAAACAGGGGTGGAAGGAGGGCTGCGTCACATATAGATGAGCGACTGATCACTAGATACAATTCTAGATAGACAAGGAAATGTGAGTGCTCCTAAATACAACTATCACCACTTAAGGCTGTACTCCAGAATGGCAAGTGCTGGACAACACGGATATGGATCAGATAAATCATCCAGGGATCGTTAAGACTGATATAAAATAACAATGGAATCAATCAGATATGAAATACATAATGCAAAATGTATTTACACAGAATAATAAAATAACTGATAATGAAACAGTTAAGATTAAATGTATCACACACACACAGCAATAATGTTATCCAGTACCAAGTCACAAAACAACAGTGTGGGGCCCCCTACACCGCTGAAAAAATAGGTGGTAACTGGAACTGAAAGTGGGCACACAAAGATAAAAATGAAATAAAATAGACCATATCCAAACTGATCCTGGGGGGAGGGAGCTCTTAAACCTGCCAAACAACCAGGTAACGGCTATGGAAAATATATCGCAGAGCCAAACCACTCTAGGGGTATGTCAAAGCAACTTACCCTTGTTGCATGACCTTGGTGTGAGGTTGGAGGAGCACGCCAACTCCTACCATGGGATAGGGAGTGTGGGTCGTTCCAATCGCAGCAGTCACCGAAAATCACTCCCGGACCATAACTGTAAACCGAGCTGGAGATGCAGACAAGACGGGAGGCAGAACGTCTACACGTTTCGTCCTCTTTGAAGGACTTTGTCAAGACTAAAGTCTGCTATCCTTAATGTGGGTATATATACCCTCCGTGTAAAGTGGTGACCGTGGAATATGAATTAACAATGATTTCACATCAGGCGTATTGCCTAAACATACACATTTAAAAAAAACAAATACAAGGTGCAATAAGTGTTGGATAATAAAAAAAAAAAAAATAATAGAACAGACCCCCCAATCATACTAAATGTTGCACAATCATTCTAATAAAGGTTGGGTATAATCAATACCATGTAATAAACTTTAAAAATAATTATAAACAACTACCACCACATCGGTGGCTTAATCTCCTCAATTAAAGAGACAAAATGAAACTGATAAAAGTAACAATAAAGTGAGCAATAAACAATTCCATTTTTGGATAATCTATATCCCCAATTAATTTATGAGAATGATCCTGTTAATAGGAGAATTTTAAGTAAAAATACGCACGGGACCTAATTCCTTAAATTGAAACACTTATAATAATAAATACCATATGATGTAATTCCCTATGATGGGACAATAATAATAAATAAATGATGAATGAATTCTTTGTATGTAAAACAGGAACATATTTACCCATTAACCACCCTGGATGTACCTAATATATAAAGATGTCACTTATCTTCTCCTTATGATCAATAAATTTATATAAAGACTTATGAAGTAGAACATCTCCTGTTATAAACAACAATTCTCAATCAGAAACAAAATTGGGGACCAAGCATACAATGGTTATAAAAAAATAATAGACTGGCTAATTACACCCCTTAAGGACACACACCATGTGTGACAGGTCACGATTCCCTTTTATTCCACAAGTTTGGAATCGGAGCATATTGTTTGAACTGCTCTCTGTTTATTTTTCCTGGCCATATCCATGGCAGCACAACATTGGGTAGCTCCTCATTATCCCAATTGGACAGGAGTAATAATTAAGTAGTATAAGTACCACCTCCTACCCCTCCTTCCCCAGTCTTTTTTTCCTGTCCTATCCCTAGGACATGTTGGTTTTAAGACTATGAAATTTTCTTTTATGGCTTACCTGAGGATTAGTTCCTCCAGCCCCTTGGGAGTTCACCCTCTCTCCCCTAGGAAGTCTCCAGTACACGGCCCTGCGCAAAAGTGTCCCCCTGGTGAAAACCCCTGTACTGACCGGGGGTTCTCCTTTCTGTCATCCTGCAGCGACCCTAGGGGTAGCAAGTAAAGCATTATTCAAAACAATGTGTCCACTTCTAAAGCTGGTTGATTAGGAGAAAGGTCTACCCACCAGAACAATATGAAGGAAGATAAATGTATGGATGCTTAAACAGTATATTTAAATTCACCACCCAGGATGCTGTAAGCCAGTAAGTATTTCTTTATCCTGCGCTTGTTAAGTTTCCTCGGCGTTCAGGAGTTTCAGGGTGCCTGTGCGGCGTTTGTGTGATTGAGCGCGTAGGCGCTACTATTTTGTATATGTGTTCGGCGGTTCGCGAGTGCACATATCATTTGTGGACTCGCGGTCCGTTTACCAGGAAGCCGTTCACGCGTTCACCGGCCCCTTTGCGCATGTGTGGTTTGATTGATGACGTCAGACGCCTGGCTCTTAAAGCGCCAAATCTCATTTATCTCAAATGCTGATCAATTCTGGCAGAAGTAGGATTCCTGATCATAGGAGCTTCAGCAGGATAGTCTGTTAACCTCATCTTTGCTGGGCTCTTTTCTTTCCTTTGGAAAAAGTAAGTTAATTTCTTATATTTTTTTTCTTGATGTACTTACTCTTCTTGGTTAAAGTTTCATCTGATACACCGATTGATTTGCAGATGGATTCTCGTTTAAAGGACCACTATAGTGCCCTGAGGGTGCCCCCACCCTCAGGGACCCCCTCCCGCCGGGCTCTGGGGAGAGGAAGGGGTTAAAATCTTACCTTTCTCCAGCGCCGGGCGGGGAGCTCCCTCCTGGGCTGAATGCGCGCTGCAAGAGCGCACGCGGGCAAGAGCTGCTGCGCGCATTCAGCCCGTCGCATAGGAAAGCATTTACAATGCTTTCCTATGGACGCTGGCGTGCTCTCACTGTGAAAATCACAGTGAGAAGCACATTAAATGAAACAGCACTAGAGGATTAGGGGGAAGGCTTAACCCATTTATAAACATAGCAGTTTCTCTGAAACTGCTATGTTTATAAAAAAAATGGGTTAACCCTAGAAGGACCTGGCACCCAGACCACTTCATTAAGCTGAAGTGGTCTGGGTGCCTAGAGTGGTCCTTTAAGATCCAGGGAATCGGATTCATCTCATCATAATAGGTCACAATCGAAGCAATATAGGTAAGCCATTTTTTCCAGTTAAAAAAAAAAAAAGAGTGGGAAAGTACTCAAAGGCACGTTTGTTTGTTGTAGTGCCAAAGGTACATAGACTTCAGGATCGTCCAAAGGGAAGTTGCCCAAAAGGACGCTGTGCATATCCTGTGACAACAGAGCCATAGAAGGGAAACGTCTCTGTTCAGATTGTCTCTCAGCAGCTGCAGGACCATCTCATCCAACACCGGACATAATGCAATTTATAAAGCAAGAGAGGTTGGCAAGGCCCACAAGCGACCCAGATATTCTGAGCCCTCGGATTTTTCTCCAGGAAACTCAGAGGATGAGTTTATGAAGTCCGCTTCACTGAGAGACCTAGCTTTTTCCTCGAAGGAGGATGCTATGCCAGATCCAGACTTCCTGGTACCAGCGGAAGTGGATCATTTAATTACCCGGGTTAGAGAAACCCTCACTTTGAAGGAACCCTCGGAAGAGGAACCCTCTAGAGGAACCCTCTACATCTAATCGCTATTTCTCTGATCTTAAGAGAAAAAGAGCGACCTTACTGGTACATGACATGATCAGTGGTCTTATTATGGAGGAATGGTCCAGATCTGATAGATCATCTGCCAAAGGACAATTCTCCAGGTTATTGTTACAAAATGCCTTTTGTAACTGTTCCTTTAAATGACAAATTGCCCTGCTTCCCTGGATTATGGAGGAGCCTATTTGCCAGCCTCCTTCCCATAACCATGTACCGGGTGTGTATGGTCATTTAAGAACAGTCTGTGAGCATATTGGGGCTTATGGACTTTTTATGGGACTGGTGCTGGCCCTTTAAGCACATTTTTGGGACATAGAGAAAATTGGGACAATGCCCCTTTAAGACGGTGTCCCCAGACTTGTTTGGGACACTGCCCCTTTAAGCCTGTGTCCCCAGTGTCCCCAGACTTGCTTAAAACTGGCTATTTCCCACCACTGACCTGTACATTCTCCCATACTGAACTTTCATCCGCAGAGACTAAGTCCCATTCGCCGACCGCACAGCCCATAAAGGACTTTTCGCTAACTTTTTATCTACTGGAGGGATTTGTCTGATTTTTGAGAGTGTTTATATTTAAAGTGTGCTGATTCTGAATCTTATGAAGATTGGACGTATATATATATATATATATATATATATATTATTTTTTTTAATTCTTTATTTTTGATTCGACACATAGTACGGCATGGCAGTATTCAGTGGCTCACGCAGGGGCCAATAGTGATTGAGACATACAATGCATTATACAGAAGAGAAGCGGTTTAGTAAGGTTATGCCAGGTTCTTTTATGCCGTGCAGTGTCGCCGTTTCTGTTGTGATGGGCTTTTCATGCCCATAGATAAAAATAAAATAAAGTAACAAAACTAAACCATATTAGACATATAGTAACTAACTAAATATAGCTATAGCTACCGAAGGTAAGAGCCTCCAATATATTTCCCTACTATGAACT